CCATTCAATGAAAGTCAGAGTGATTTGGGGTTAAAGACATGGTAGAGTAGCTCCATTTAAATCACAATGGGCTTTTTAATTTGTTTGTTTAGCATTTTATTTTTTCCCAGTTACATGTAAAAAAAAATTTAACATTCATTTTTAAAGCTTTGAGTTCTAAATTCTCTCCCTCCTTTCCTCCCCAAGCCCCCCTCATTAAGAAGGCAAGCAATTTGTTATAGGTTATAATTGTGTAGTTATGCAAAAAATATCCATAACAGTCATGGTGTGAAAGAAAACATAGACAAAAAAATCAAGAAAAATAAAGACAGTAAAAAAAAATTGCTTCAATCTGTGTTCAGCCACCATCAGTTCTTTCTCTGGTGATGGATAGCATTTTTCATCATAAATCCTTCAGAGCTGTCTTGGATAATTATATTGCTGAGAATAGCTGTCATTCATAGCTGATTGATTACCTTACAATATGCTGTTACTTTGTAGACAGTACGTTTCACTTTGCATCAGCCCATGCAAGTCTTTCCAAGTTTTTCTGAGAGCATCCTGCTCATCATTTCTTATAGTACAATAGTATTCTATCATAATCACATACCACAACTTGTTCAGCCATTCCCCAATTGATGGGCATCCCTTCAATTTCTAATTTTTTGCTCTCAGAAAAGAGGTGATATAAATATTTTTTGGACTCATAGGTCTTTTCCTTTTTTTTTTTAAATCTCTTTTGGGATACAGATCTAGTAGCGGTATTGCTAGGTCAAAAGGTTTTATAACCTTTTGGGCATAGGTCCAAATTGCTCTATAGAATGGTTGAATCAGTTCACAACTATACCAAAAATGCATTAGTCTCATTTTTCCCACATCCCCTCCAACATTTGTCTTTTACCTTTTATGTCCTATTAGACAATCTAATAGGTATGAGGTAGTACCTCAGAATTGTTTTAATTTGTATTTCTCTAAGCAATATTTTTTCATATGGCTATAGATAGCTTTGATTACTTTATCTGAAAACCAATCATATCTTTTGATCATTTATAAATTGGGCAATGGCTCTAATTTTTATAAATTGACTCAGTTCTCCATATGTTTGAGAAATGAGGCTTTTAATGGAGAAACTTGCTTCAGAAATTTTTTTTCACAGTTATTATTGCTAACTGTATTTCCCTCCATCCTATCACCCCTGTTTATTCTATTATCTCTCTCCTTTCACCCTGGCCCTCCTCATTTTGACTACTCCCTCCCCAAATCTGCCCTCCCCTCTATCACCCCCCTTCTCTTATCTTATTTCCTACTTTCCTGTGGGGTAAGATATTTCCATACCCAATTGAGTGTGTATGTCATTCCCTCTTTGGGCTAATTCCAAGGAGAGTAAGGTTCACTCATTCCTTCTCACCTCCCCCCTCTTCCCCTCCATGGTAAAAGCTTTTTTTCCCCTGTTTTATGTGAGATAATTTACCCCATTCTGTCTCTCCCTTTCTCTTAGCACATTCTTTTCTCACCTCTTAATTTTATTTTTTAGATACCATCCCTTTATATTGAACTCACACCTGTGCCCTCTCTCTATATAGACTCCTTCTAACTACCCTAATAATGAGAAAGATCTTATGAGTTACAAATATTATCTTCCCATATAGGAAGGTAAATGGTTGAACCTTATTAAGTCCCTTATGATTTCCCTTTTCTGTTTACCTTTTTATGCTTTTCTTGAGTCTTGTATTTGAAAGTCAAATTTTCTATTCAGCTTTGGTCTTTTAATAAAGAATGCTTGAAAGTCCTCTGTCTCACTAATATCCATTTTTTCCCCCTGAAGGATTATTCTCAGTTTTGCTGGGGAGGTGATTCTTGGTTGTAATCCTAGCTGTTTTGCCCTCTGGAATATCATATTCCCAGCCTTTAATGTTAAAGCTGCTAAATCTTGTGTTATCCTGACTGTGGCTTATTTTGTTCTGACTGCCTGCAATATTTTCTCCTTGGCTGGAAACTCTGGAATTCGGCTACAATATCCCTGGCAGTTTTCATTTTGGTATCTCTTTTAGGATGTGATTGGTGGATTCCTACAATTTCTATTTTATCCTCTGGTTCTAGAATATCAGGGCTGATTTCCTTCATAATTTCTTGAATGATGGTGTCTAGGCTCTTTTTCTGATCATGGCTTTCAGGTAGTCCTATAACTTTTAAATTCTCTCTCCTGGATCTATTTTCCAGGTCAGTTGTTTTTCCAATGAGATATTTCACATTGTCTTCTATTTTATCATTCTTTTGATTTTGTTTTGTTTCTTGATTTCTCATTAAGTCATTAGCTTCCATTTGCTCCATTCTAAATTTTAAGGAATTATTTTCTTCAGGTGAGCTTGTGGACCTCCTTTTCCATTTGGCCAATTCTGCTTTTTAAGGCTTCTTCTCCTCACTGGCTTTTTGGACCTCTTTTGCCATTTGGCCTAGTCTGTTTTTTAAGGCATTATTTCCTTCAGTATTTTTTAATGTCTCCCTCACTAAGCTATTGAATTTTTCTCATGATTTTCTTGCATCACTCTCACTTCCCTTCCCAATGTTTCCTCTCTTTCTCTTACTTGATTTTCAAAATACTTTTTGTGCTCCTCCATGGCCTGAGACCAATTCATATTTTCCTTGGAGGCTTTGGATGTAGGATTTTTGACTTTGTCTTCTTCTGAGTGTGTGTTTTGAGCTTCCTTGTAACCATAATAACTTTCTATAGTCAAAGTTTTTTTCTGTTGTTTTCTTATTTTCCCAGCCTGTTACTTGATTTTTAACTGTTTGTTAAAGTAGGGCTCTGCTTCTGGGGTGGATGGCACATTGTCCCAAGCGTCAGGGGTTTTGTGTAGCTGTTTTCAGAGATACTTCTAGGGAGCTACAAGTTTTCAGTTCTTCCAAGATTTTAAGATCTAAGGAGAGGTGTTTGCTCCTTTCCTGGCCTGTGCTCTGGTCTATGCTCAACCATAAGCACCCTTTTCTGCCCTGGAACTGTAATGAGGGTCTCTGCTCCACTATGGCCACAAGCTCTGGTGTGCTAGTGCTCATCCTCACCCTGGGACTGCTACCTGGAACTGGGACCAGGATCTGAGTATGGGCAAAGCAATAGAGTCCTGTCTCAGTGCTTGCAAAAAGACCCCTGTAAATCTCCTTCTGACCAGTTGTTCAACTCCCTCACCATCTGTGGGCTAAAAGCTATGGAAGCAGCTGCTGATGCTGTAGCTGCTGATTCAGTCACTCCCAAGTCCTACTTCTGGCTTGCTGCAGCTGAGGCTATGCTGGTGCAACCTGCGCTGGACTGTGCTCCACTCTCACCTAGGTGCAACAGACCTTTCCTGCTGCTGCCAATGATTCAGTCACCCTGAGGCCTGCTCTGGGTTTGCTGGGGCCCAGTCTGTGCTGTTGCAGTCTGCACTAGACTGTGCTTCTCTCTCACCCTGGTGCAACAGACCTCTCCTGCTGACCTTCCAAGTCGTCTTGGGCTGGAAATTTGTTCCACTCTTTCTGTTTGTTCTGCTGCTCTAGAATTTGTGTAGAGTCATTTTTCACAGGTATTTGGAGGGGTTTGGGGGAGAGCTCAGGTGGGTCCCTGCCTTTACTCTGCCATCTTGGCTCTGCCTCCACAATGAGCTTTTTAAAAGCCTGTTATTTCAGAGCTATGTTTCAAGAAATCATAAATGAAAACACAGCAGGTCAAAGAGTATTGTCCCAGCATTTTGAAAAAGAAAAATAGAAAATTAAAAAAAAAATTAGCCCCCAAACTCCAAGATATCTTATAAAATATAAATAACCAAAAGTGATATTCCTTTGGACAGAGCCTCCACATATAAGGGCATGACACCACAAATGGAGAGAGGGACCACGTGTGGCCAGGAAAAAAGGAGGAGGATGAGAAGGAAGAGGAGGGAGAGGAGCTATATATATGAGTGCATGTATGTATATTCTGCACTCTGAATTTCTCTCTTCTCTATCTGGAGGTGGGTAGCCTGTTTTCATCATTAGTCCTCTGGAATCATAGTTGGTCATTACATTGATCAGTGTTTCTAAGTCTTTCAATAGTTTTTTTCTCTTTACCAAATTGCTGCTACTGTATAAACTATTCTCCTGGTTCTGTTCAGTTCGCTTTTAATCAGTTCATATAAGGCTTCCCAGGTTTTTCTGAAATGATTCCTTTCATCATTTCTTACAGCAAAATAATACGCTATTTATATACCATAACTTGTTTAGCCATTCCCCAACTGACGGGCATCCCCTCACGTTCTCATTCTTTGCCATTTCAAAAAGAATTATAAATATTTTTGCCCATTGTTAGAGTTTGTTTTACTTAAAACTAATCCCTCCCTTAAGCCACCCTCCTTCTAATTCCCCTTTTTTTCATTTCTTTATTGAGTGAAATGTATTCCTGTATCCAACTCTGTGTTCATATCTATATCTATATCTATATGTATTCTTCCCTTTAAATAGTTCAGATGAGAATGAGACTGAAGTGTCAGTGGCTCCCCTCCTCTATCTCCTTCTTGTTTGTATAGATGTCTATTTGAACCCTCTGATTATCTGGAATAATTTTCCCTACCCCCACCTCCAGTTTATTCCTATTCCCTTCTCTTTCCATTATTAAGATCATCAAGACATAATAGAATCACTCCCAGGCATTCTGTCTAATTAGACTTCCATGAACCCTGATGATAGGGTTCAGTTGGGACATAATTTCATCTCCCCATGTAAGCAGTTTATCCTTGACTTAGCACTGCTTAAACTCTTTTTTTCTTCTCTTCTTTTAGAGTTTACTGTGACTTCACATTTTTTGGAGGCTTGGATAAAGTATACAGATCAGGTGTTATTAGTACACAGGACTGAGAGGGAGAGATTTTGTAGGAATATTTTCCCCCAATTACCAGAAAAATATAAACAAGACTACTTATGAAACTTAATGGCCCTATTCATACTTTTATTTGGGCATGTCATACACACATGCATATATGTGTAGATAAAAAGGTATGCAGTAATTACACAAATCTCTCTGGATACCAAGTGGTCTAAAACCAAGAAAGTTATGTGAGAAAATTCTCTTGATACCCGATGTGAAACAGCTGCTCACATTATTTCCTATTCATCGACATAGAAACTGCCTTTGACCAGAAAGGATTTTGCCAGTGAAATTCCTTAGTGGAGACAAGAGGGAAAGGAAAAAAACCACACAAAGGTGTCAGCTTCAACCCACAGTAAATAGTGCGGTGGTGGGGGGGATATTTTTAGGAAACCATCGTGCAACCCACAGGGGGAAAAAGAAACATATAATCAAAAGCAAAGGGTAAGACATTACCTGCTTGCTAAATCACCCATGTTCAAGGCTAGGGAAGTTTATGGAGGGGGGGGGGAATTGAACTCTCCCTCCTTTGAAACTCACAGATCAATCGCTTGCTCCGTCTCACGTGCATGGATAAACTGGATACGAGTTATAGCTCCAGAGTCCAGGGTGGGGTCATTTTAAAATTGACATGGGGTCACATGTTTTGCAGAAGGGCATTTGTATGACATCCCGGGGGAGTATGTCAGCGATCCGGGAAGAGAGAGGAGGTGGAGAGAGCATTTGCTGCGAAAACGGTCTTGGGACATAGAGGTGGAGAAAACGATGCACTTCATCGAACTGCCTCCTCTTTCCTATCCCACGCATTTAAAATAGCAAAAAATAGTGATAACAATAATGACTATATTCTCCCCCCAAATGCTCCCAGCCACGTTGTTATGTCCCCGCTGGAGCTGACACTCAGAGGAGTTGGGGTGTAAAGTGCAGCCTGCAGCTGAGCTGTACGCCGGGCCTGTGCGCACATCTCGGGCCGCTGTGTTTGACCCCACCCTTCGGCAGCTCAGAACCCCACTTTTCCTCGCAGTAGTCTCGACTGACCCCCGCCCTCGCCCTCCGCCTCCTTCCTTCTCCTCCTCCTTCTCTTCCTCCTCCTCCTCTCTCCCCTCCTTCCTCCAGGCAGTCACAAGAGAAGCTTCAGCTCCAGCCGGCAGAGCGCGCAGCGTAGGGCGCACGGAGCTTGCTGTCAGCTACCCACGGCCAGACTTCCCAAGGCTCAGCAGCAGGGCAGCCTGTCAGCCCGAGCTGCCAACGCAGCCATCATCGCACCAGCCCCAGCCCGGCCCGGGCGGGCGGGCAGCGGCTAACAGTGGCTGCTCAGACCGTGCTCACGCCTGTTTCAGGGCGCCGCCGCCTCCCCTTGGCCACAGCTGCAAGCCCCGTTGGAGGGCAGCTGAGAGAGGGACGGGGTGAAGGAGAAGCCAGCAAGTTAAGGTGACAAAGCTACTCAACTGCAAAGTTCCCCGGAGTCTGGTAAGGTTCCAGTGGCGTGGGCAGACTGAAGAGGCTCGAGGAGCAAAGGAGCAGGGGGCCACTGGGTCGGGCGAGGGTGCAATGTACGCCTAGAATGGTCACCAGCGGAGCGAGCCTCCTGCATGTTCTGTGTGCGTGTGGGCGCTCCTGGTGTAGGCTTTGTGTGGGAGTATGTGGCGATGTCCAACGTCCAAGAGAAAGGACTTCTTGTACCCAAGAAAAGCAACATGGGAGGTGGGGGGCGGGTGGGAGAAAAGCTTTCTTATACCCAGTTTCTCTAAAGCAGCAGTCCAGGCTTTTGCTCTGAGTAGAGAACACTGAGATCCCTTCTGCCTGCCCGCCTGCCGGTTCAGGGACGTTCACCCCAGCTTCATGGCTAAGCAGCACTGGGGAGGCAAGCGAAGGGAAGGAGTTGTGCAACTCTTTGTAACTTGTGCAGGTTGATTTTGGGGAGCCGGGCCGTGCATCTTTGGTCAACATTTCTTGTAGTGATGATGTTGCAGAATTCCAATGTGATCTTTGGACAATAATTAGTCATGTAGGGAATAGGAGAAAATCCAGTGATCTGGGTGCAGGCACAAGATGGGAAGAAAAGTCGATACAGAGGAGTAGGCAGTTTATATATACAGTTGTAGGGCCAAGAGCTGTGAATAGATTGAATAAGGCATGCAATCTAAAAAAAAAAATGGCCAGGGCCCCCTTTTTCAGTCAGTTTTTGATAAAATGTTCCCCAAGGTGTGTCTTATTAGTAGTAATAATTGCACTTTTAAATAAAAAGGTTTAGCTTACGTAAATTGTTTTTTATAAGTTAGCAAAGCAGTTTACAGTGAGTGAACCAGTATTTATTAAGTGCTTACTACATAGTAGTATGCTAGCTAGGCTAAGAACTGAGAATACAAATTCAACAACCCTGTGAGATGGAAAAAGGCCAGTCATCATTCTCACTTTGCAGAAGAAGACATCCTATTCAAGATAATAAGAATTTCAGGCGAGTGGGAGGGCACTGACTTGAACCCTTGGCTCTAAATCCAATACATTTCCCACTATGCTGGATTATTTCAGGGAACTTCTTTTCTTTGCCTTTATGATGTTGACTAATAATGTATTTGCAAGGAAACTCAGCTGACCAAGCATAAAAAAATAGCCGGTTCTGATAACCCTTTTGAGTAGTAGGGTTATATATCTGGAAGGGATCTTGAAGGCCATCTAGTCTATTTCCATCATTTTAAGGATTAGGAAACTGAGGCCCAGAAACATGCTCAAAGTTACATAGCTAGTATCAGAGTCACGATTTGAACCCAGGTTTCTTGACTCCAGAGCCGAAGGTCATTCTACTGTACCAGTCACTCAACCATTTGAGCTACTATTGGTTGTAGATTCAATGGGAATTACTAAATCACTCTTTAAATCACTAAAGTTAATTTCCCTCTTTGGTGGCACTGCTTAAAATGAACATAAAATCATTGGATGTTAGGAAGATTGCTGAAAATCTATGTTTATTACATGAAATTAAAAAAAAATATCCAGCTTACTGAAGTCTCTATGGATAAGGCTGCATAATAGGAAATGGTATGGCTATAGAATAGCAAAATTGGCTTTTATTTTCAAAAGGTAGTATGATACTTTTTAGCTTAGTACTTTTTTCCATTAAGGGTTTTGCTGGCCATTAATAGGTATTCATTCTTAGATGTTAGTTTTCTTTAATGAAAAAAGGCATGAGGTAGAGTATATAATATGTACTCCTTTCAGATCAAGACATAACCAGAAAGAAATTAAGGGCCTGAATAGGATTTCAGAAAAGTTAGATTTTGTACATATCTAGTTTATCTGATATTACTGAATGGGGCACTGAAAGGACTATATGTATTTCTCAGTTGTTTTGGCAAATTTGCAAAAATTGATTGTACTCTAAGGAATAAAAACCTTATAAATAAGCATAGCCCAAAATTAAACACATCCTTTACTGATCACAGCACTAAAATTATAATCAATAAATTACTTTTGATGGAAGGATTAAAACTTAAAGGGAAACTAATTTAACCCTACAGAATTGATAAAGTGGGGCAGTGAGGTGGCACAGTGGATAGAGCACTGGCCCTGGATTCAGGAAGACCTGAGTTCAAATCTGACCTCAAACACAGAACACTTACTAGCTGTGTGATTCTAGGCAAGTCACTTTAAAAAAAAAGAATTGGTGGATCAAATAAAAATTGTAGAAACAATAAATATCATGAAAGAAAATGACAACAATGAGATGACATACTAAAACTTTTGGGATGCAGCCAAAGCAGTCTTTATGGGAAAATTTATGTCTCTAAATGTTTAAATCAGTAAAAGAGAGAAAGAATAGATGGGTGAAATAAGCTTGCTAATAATAAAGACTAGAAAAGCAACAAATCTAAGAAACCAATTAAAGCATAAAAATAGATATTCTGCAATTCAAAGAAGAGATAAATAAGAATGAAAGCAAAGCTCCATTGAATTGCTAAAGAAAGCAAGGAGATTTTTCCCCCTTTGGGAGGGGGCTAAAACCTCAAAATCTAAATAGGCAAACTTAGCTAATTTGATTTTGAAAAGAGTGAGGAAATATCCAAAATTTAGGGAAAAAATAAAAAAGGAGAATTAATAGCTGAGGAAAAGGCAATAAAGATGCCAGCTCTTGGTTTTAGATATGTTGACCATATTAAGGAAAATTCCATTCATTACTATGTTTTCTGATGTTTTAGAAAAAAAACACCTCATAAATAATTAGTGTATTATGGCAAAAACTTTTAATCCGCCTATTACTGTAATTGTGATTTTGTTATTAATATGGTCTATTATATTTATGGTTTTCTTAGTATTGAAGAAACCATGCGTTCCTGGCAAAAGTCCAACTTGTTCATAACATATAATTTTCTTTTAATATTTTGCTGTGCCATTTTTGCTAATATTTAAAAAAAGTTTTGCATCTATTAGAGACATTGGTCTATAGTTTTCTTTTTTCAGCTCACCGGTTCTCAAAGTATGGTTGGGAACTCTGGTGGTCCCTGAAACTTTTATAGGGGACTGCAAGGTCAAAACTATTTTTATAATCATATTAAGATATTAAAATTTTTATTAAAGTAAATATCAATTATATAATTTATGTAAAAATCTCTTTGGAGGGGTTCTCAATAATTTTTTTTTTTGCTTTTTGGTGAGGCAGTCAGGGTTAAGTGACTTGCCCAGGGTCACACAGCTAGTAAATGTCAAGTGTCTGACATTAGATTTGAACTCAGGTCCTCCTGACGCCAACGCCAGAGTTCTATCCACTGTGCCACCTAGCTGCCCCCTCTCAATAATTTTTAAAAGTGTAAAGGGGTCCTGAGACGAAAAAAAATTGATTTGCTGCTGACCTACTAATCCCTCCCTGCTTTTGGTATTAGGACTGTATTTGACTCATACAAAGAGACTGGTAAGATCCCTTCTTTCACTATTTTTGGAAACAATTCAAAACTGGAGTTAATTGTCCTTTAATGGTTTGATAGAATTATTGTAAATCCATCTTTCCCTAGAGTTCCCCCTCCCTCATTTATTATTATTATTATTTTTTGCTGTATGCTTCACTTATAAATTGAGACCATTTGCTAAGAACTCTCTTTCCCCCCTCATATTTTCGTATCACTCAGACATCTTTCCCAACTACTCCTTCACTTCTGTCTTGCCTTTGCCAGGGCAGACCCCTGGACATTGATCCTTGATCTTGTCTTCTCCATTCTTCTCCAGAATACCCTGCTATCAGCTCTACTCGTTTCCTCGTCTTCAATCTCTTTCTGCTGACTGGCTCCTTCTTTATTACTTATAAGCACATCCTTTACAAAAGCCCTCACTTGAACCAAACATACCCATTAAATATCATTCTATATTTTGTTGCCTTCTTGGCAGATGAACCCCAGGTCTATACAGCCAGCCTCAATCGTTGGACTCTATTGCAGTCACACATCACCTTTTAAACATCTTGAATTGGATGTGCTGAGGGATTCTAACCTCATCACGTCTAAAATGATTCATTACCTTAACCCCCAAATGCTCCCTTCTTCCTAACCTTATTACTGTAGAGAGAAATGTCATCCTCATAGTCACCCAGGTTTACAATCTTCATGTCATCCTTGATTCTTCTTTCATATTCATCTCACATAGCAAATTTGTCAAATCAAGCTTTTTCTACTTTCAATATGTCTTATATACGTCCCTGTTTCTCAACCAACCTAGAAACCACGCTAGCATAGGTAACTCATTGCCTCTCTCCTGGACTGTGGCTATAGCCTTCTAACTGATCTCCAAGCATCAATATTCTCTTCATTCTACTATATATTCTACTCACTTTCCAAAGTGATTTTACTAATGTCCTGGTCTGACCATGTCACCTCCTTATTCAATAAACTCTATTGGTGCCCTATTATTTCTAGGGTAAAATAGAAAACCCTGTATTTGATATTTAAAGCCTATCACAGCTTAGGCCCTCGCTACTATAAATTGTGCATATGCCAATGTATGACGGGTACGAATACACAAGTTTGTCTAAATGTGTCTTGTGAGATGTATTGATAGCTATCTGTGGAATCTTGACCATCCCTCTTCAAGGAAGATGGCAGTTTCTGACCTGAGGGGATTAAAAACCATTTTCTCAAGTCTCTGAGAAGAGTATCTAATTAGAATTATAACTATTTCCCCTGCTAAATATTGCTGGTCTAAGGATATGAAAACAAAAGCTGCTTCCTGGTTCCTGGTCCTAGGATTACACTTACTAGCAAACCAGATTTTTGTTGTTCTTCAGTTGTTTCAGTCTCTTCATGACCCATTGGACCATACTGTTCATGGAATCTTCTTGGCAAAGGTATTGGAGTGATTTGTCACTTCCTTCTCCAGCCGATTAAGGCAAGCAGAGGTTAAGTGACTTGTCCAGGGTCACACAGCTAGCTAGTGGCTGAGGTAAGATTTGAACTCAGGTCTTCCTGACCCTAGGCCCAGTGCTGTAT